AAAAAAATCCAGACTACCCAATAAAAGTAGGAACTGATATTACAGACCCACGGACCATAAGTGAGGGATACAAATGGTTTGGGGAGAAATGTAGTTCTGACATGTTTGGATGCCAAAGATTTTTAAAGTTGATCTCTCTTGGCCTGGTAAGATTTTATGCATTTTTGCAGTTCCAGCCAAGAGGTCTAAGGATTACTGAATGTTCTGCCAGCCTGGAACTGTAGAGAAAAGAGTGCACTCATGTGATAATTAAAAGTGAATGCATAGAGACAAAAGGGCTTCTTTTCACAAAAAGGGATGGAAATGACTACAATCTGGGGCCAGTGCTCCAAAATAAAGTTGAATTAGTGATTTATTTAAATTTGAAACTTGTGTTTATGTATCTAAAATATGGTAACTTTCACCTCAGAATTGATCTCCAATGATATCTGATTTTCAGAATGCTTGACAAGGTAGGATTTAACTGCCCAGAAGAATAGTATTTGAAACCTATTCTAAATTGGTCCTTTTGGAGGAACTTGAACTCTTCTGTGTGGGTTGTTTGTGCATATACACATATGTGTATGTGGTGTAGGCCTGTGTGTGCAGTGTGCACTCGTGTGTGGATGTAGAGCCACAGGCGAACTCGTGTGTGGATGTAGAGCCACAGGCCAATATCAGGTATATTCCTCTATCTCTTTCCACATTACTATTATTATTATTTTTTTCTTTTTTTGGTCCTTTTGAGACAGGGTCTCCTGTAACCCCAGTTGACCTGGAACTCACTATGTAGAGCAGGCTGGCCTCAATCTTTTAGAAATCTGCCTGCCTCTACCTGAGTGCTGAGATTAAAGGCATGCACCACCATGCCCGGCTCCTTCACCTTATTTTTGAAACAGGGTTTCTCACTGAGCATAGTGCTCATGTATTTGACAGGCTGGTTGGTCAGAGAGCCCCCAGGATTCTCCCGTCTCCACCTCCAAGTGCTGGGATTACAAGTGAGTATTGCTAAAATCAGCTTAAACATTTTTTTTTTGAGTTTCAGAATGTCATGCATAACTATCGTGTTGACAAAATTTCCACCCCTCCTTCTCTCTCCTCAGACTCCTCCCTTGTTCCCTCTCCACTCCTCCTCACATTCGTGACTTCTTCTATAATTACATATACATACACACACACAATATACACAAAACCTACTGAGTCTATTTAGTGTTGCTTGTATGTATATGTTTAGGGCTGAGTACTTGTGAGTGTATAACCTATTAGGAAAGCCCAGCTTTTTAATTAATTAATTAGTTAATTAATCAATTATTTTTAGCATGGGTATTGGGGATCTGAACTCATGTCCTCATACTTGTGTAACAAGCACTTTACCCACTGATTCCTCCAGACCCCCAACACTTTCTAAAGCAACAACAACAATAATAAAGAATTAGGAGTCATTTGCATAAAAATTATATGGACTAATAAGTAATTCATATCAGAAAGTGGAAAGGGGAAGACTGCGGGTAGAATGGAGAAGGGTACCAGTGAGAAAGGGGACAGGGAGATGGGGAAAAGGAGTGGGTGTGGGGGAGAGGTCACCCAAGCTGCGTGTATGACAATATCATAAGGAAACCTGCTACTTAGTATGCTAATAAAAATAAAATAAAACACATTATTAAAAATAAAATGTGGGAGGGCATGGTAGTGCATGCCTTTAAACACAGCACTCAGGAGGCAGAGGTAAGCAGATCTCTATGAGTTCAAAACCAGCCTGGTCTACGTAATGAGTTTTAGGCTGGCCAGGGGTACAAAGTGAGACCCTGTGTCAAAAAACAAAATAAATAAATATGCAAAAAGTAATTCATATGAGTTTTTTAAACAAATTCATATGAGCTTTTCAAATCTACACTTCTTAGTAATAAGAAAAACATTCATCAGAATAATTTAGACACATTCAGTGTCAAGAAGAGAGGGGACAGAAATTCCTTCTGTTTCCAAGTATTTGTTCAGTATTCGCCTGGAAGCTAGCATAGTAGTAGCTGGATGACAGGACAGTAACTCCTGTTACTGATGGACTTTTCATTACCATGGATTTGCTTTTGCAATTTTCCTGGATTTCTGCTCCAGGGTCACATGATAAGTCAATAGTAGTTATAAACCTCTCAGCATTGTGATCAATACCTTTGGCTGATGTAATCTAGATCTTCGGCATGATTTACAACAAAGGACAGTTTGGGCAAGCCTCTGTTTTATTACCTTCAATTCAGCAACTGAAATATTTCACTGGCTTATGACTGAAATTCCTTCCAGTTTTTTTTTTTTTTTTTTTTTTTTTTAAAATAGGGAATTGAGAGTCCTGAAGAAAAGGTCAAACTAGAAAAGGAAAAACGGCACTGAGTGTTGCTTCTTTGAGGCATACATTGGCATGCTTTTCCATGTCATGAAGTCCTCTGAAGTGTCACAATGAGGAGTGTCTGTGTAGCTGCCTGTGTCTAGTCATCTGGATAGAGAATATTTATGAAGTATTCCTTAACTTCCAAGCACACATTGTGCAACAATACAAAGACTTCAACTGCTTTTTCTTGAACCTGAACCTGAACAGTCAGCAGCAACCAACTTGAGCAAAATGAGGAACAAAATAATGTCTAGACACCAATGCTGGGGGTTGTGACTGTATCACGACACCTCGTGCAGCATTCCCGGAATCTGAGATGGATTGTTCTTTTTCATGTCTACTGTGCATTCTAGATCTAAAGACTAAACAGGAAGAAAGGAAACCAGTCACTGGCAAAGTGGTTAGATGAATAACAGAGAGTTCAGAGAAACACAATGTGGAGGTGGCCTTCAGGGGAAAGGTGCCACCACCTTGTCACTGTCTTGTCAGTCTTCCCATTTGTACATTCACTTTCTTATCCATTCATGCTCAAGGATAAGGCAGAATCACAGCTGTGAGGTAAAGATTTGCATTTAAACATCTGTAAGGTTCTTTCAGTACAACAGCAGGCTACCTTTACATGGTTTTTATTGTTCAAGACTAAAGATTGCAACTATATTGCAATTACTGAGCAATAATGGTATGCCAGGTGTTTAATACACTCAATTGGAGTTAAGTAGGATCATTTTGTCAAGCGAGGAAGCAGATTTAGATACATTCAATACATGGTCCTAGGTGAGTCACAACTTTGTCTCTTTCCCCAAGAGCCTACACTTTTTGTGTGGTTAACTGTGAAGCTTCTCAAAGACATTTAAAAAAAATTTTTTTTGTTTTGGTGTTTTTGAGACAAGGTCTCCCTGTAGCCCCAGCTGTCCTGGAACTTGTGATGTAGACCAGGCTAGCCTTGAACTCACAGAGATCTGCCTGCCTCTGCCTCCCGAGTGCTGGGATTAAAGGCATGCGCCACAAGACATTTTACATATCTAAGAAAGGCAAAGTTCTAATACTCACCAATTGTCTAATTCTGTGTCTCTCTGTTAAATTCCTTGGAGCAAGGACAGTTTTATATCCCCATTATCTGACAGTGCCTGACTGCCACTTGATAAACATTTATTGAGTAAAATGAAATACCAAATGAATTTCTTTGATATAATATTCTTGTTTCTTGAAATAAATTGGGTAGATTAATGGAATGTCATCGTTCAAACATTTGGTGTATTTTTTTTGCAGGTTTTATGCTTCTTCCATTTATTCAAGAATGGAATCTGCCCTGTATGTCAGAAAGTTTACATCATGAAATGAGAATAAATTTCTACACTTAAATATTCAGAACATCAAGCAAAGTTATACAAAGATATGTTATTTTTCTTTTTCCATTTTCATGTGTGTCTGTGTAATGCGCACATGCATGTGTGTGCACTTTGATGTGTGTGTGTGTGTGTGTGTGTATGGAGAGGCCTGAGATTGATATCAGGAATCATCTTCTATAGTTCTTCAATCTTTTCTTTGAGGCAGGGTCTCTCAGTCAAACCCAGAGCTCACTGATATGGCTAATCTCACTAGCCAGTTTGTTCTGGAGGTCCCCTTCTGAGGGTGGAAATAGAGGCCCACCTGGCATTTATGTGTTTTCTAAGGATCCAAACTCCAGTCCTTATAAGCCATGCACTTTAACACGGATCCATATCTCTAGCCATATCTTTTTATCTCTTCCCTTAGAAGGACCCTGCTCACTTTCCCTGGGCCAGGGTCCACCAAATGTCATGGGAGATACAGAAGGAAGAATTTTTTCTGGGTGTTTTAGAGTGGTTGATAGGAAATGAAACTGTTCTTTTAGTTCAGCAATTATTTGTAAATTTATTAAGTGTGAAATATAGGGATATAAAGATGACAGGTTCTTTTCTTCACGGGACAGAGAGGAGTGAATGAACTTCCTGTGAAAATGCATCTCCTGGTTGGGAGGAAGTCTGGCTGTCTACAGGTCTTGGGTTATATTCCAGAAAGAGCTAGCTTCCACCATGTTTTGTAAATATCAGTGTAAACTTCGATCTTTTAAAGATCAGGTATCCTCAAAGTGCCACACAACTCTTAGATGACTGAAATATCACCTTTGAGTTCCTTTATCATTACAAGAATGTCTGTGGAGATAATCTGCATGTAGTGTCTCTGGTAACCAAAGGCAGAGAAGTGTGGGCATGTGTATAGCTCAAAAGGGAATTTTGAGGAGCAAGAGGGCATCTCTTTCTAACCACCACATAGGGATCCATCTTTGTGCCAATAGTGGGTGACAACTCCTTTGTCATGCTTCTGGTCCACAGATACTCATCTTGCTGAAGAAGATCACCAAGTTAAAACAGAACTATGCTAGCAGGTGAAAGGTTGCCAGAAAAATGCAGGTAGTTGAAAAACTCAGGGCAAACCACTGTTAGCAGACAGAGACTTTCAGAGACCTAGGCATGCAAATGTATTCAGCTACTGTCCATGCATTAAAGAATCAGCATCTGGTCTATGGAGGTCTCCATGGAGCCAGGTGAGATCAATCTTAGGCTTCCTCTGTCATTATGCAAATGAAGCAGGTAATCAAGCATGATGAGCTGTAACCAACTTACAATATACAAGATGTTACATCACTTTATTTTAACAGTATGATTCAGAACAACTATTAACATACAAAGTACCATTCAGCTCAACTGCAGGTATAGGCAGTGCCAAGTATTTAAATCTTTGAAGAATGACTTACTCCCACAATCTGTCCAGACACATTACCCCAGAAAAGTTCATAAATAGAAAACATGATTTCACATTGTAGCTCTCTCAAGCACGTATATACAGGCATAGGCAGTTTCCACAAGCTCTTTTTGTTCTTAATGTGTTCATTTTCTTGACCTCATAGAGACAATGACTTCCTTCTACAGAACAGATCCATGGCCAATGTTCTGTGAATTAGTATTATTCTTCACAGTTATGAAGCAGTAATGTTTGAATTGAAATGACTTTGTAGTACAGTTCCTGATGCTTTCTGGTATGTTCCACCTTCTTCAAAGAGCTTATGATTGCCATTATTTTCCTGCAACAACAGCCAGACTCAACTATTGGGTTTCAGCATAGTACGCCCTTATCATAACTTGCTCTATGAACCCTTGGCTTTATGTCCTGGTGATGTAATGAGGGTGGGGTGTACTGGCAATCATTGCATTTCCTTATCACAATTTACAGCCATTTAAAATCATGCTGCTATTAATCCAAGACTGACATACCTTTTCTGAAATGTTCACAGTGCAGTACTTTTGTGGCCTAACGAAAATTTTCTTACATCATTAAAAATAAACATTTCTATAAAAATATAATACTTTCAATGTTTACGTGGACAAAACCAGTTAGAGTAACCTAAGCCACATGCACTATACAGTAGTAAGCACAAAATTCCACAGAATGCAATACCTCAAAAGTCCTGTCCAGAGGAAATATTCACCCAGGAGAAAAAGCCAGGATTTTAAATAGGCTTGTTTGTCTGTTTCTAAAATGCGCTTTTATTTAGCATAGACTGTGTCCTAATGTAAAAATGAGGCCCCCCAAAACTTTAGTCTCCAATTGTTTTAGATGGGTGGGAAGCCTCCACCTGAGAAAGAGAACTCTTCCAGTCCGTTGACACGTTCTTTGTTCAATAAACCATGACTGGAAACAGTAAAACTTTCAATAACCTGTACTCTCCTTTAAAAACATAGCATGCTACCTTTAAAAATATTTATCACCACAAATTACTTATTTTCAGAGTTACCATTAAAAAACAGATAAAATGTCTAAATGCCCATATTTGTTATCTCAGAACATTATCTTTCTCAAACATTTGAATATTTTGTTTGCTGAGACAGGGTCTCACACTGTAGCCCAGGCTGGCCTGTAAATCACTAGGTAGCTGAGGTTGGTTTTATATTTTCCTAAATCTGCCTGCCTCAGTCTCCTAAGTGTTAGGATTACAGGTGTGAGCCACCATTCCTGGCTAAACAGCTGATTTTTAAAATGACATATATTTCACTGTAACAAATTATTTTTTGAAAGTTTTCCTGTTGTCATTTATGTACAATATGTAAAATCCCTGATAATTTATAAACACACCTCATGTTATGCTATTTTGAAACTTTAAATGCATTGTCTGTGGATATTCCTCCAGCCAAAGGAATGTGTATACAAAAATTGCAAAAGGGAATGTTTGCGTGATGGGTGAACAACAGCATAAGAAATAAAAAATGTTCACGGCCATATAGCACATAAAAGTTTCTTTAAACACGGGAATTCCAATGAGCAGCCTGGCCTTGGGGCTGCCACACCTCCTGCATGAGGCTACCTCTTCTGAATTTTCTATGAGAAGTCTTCAAAGGCCATTGCAGCACTTTCTCACCAAAAATCAAGCGAGATTCTGATTTTGAAAAATTTCAACCCAGAACTGAGGTTTTGAACTCCACAGAAATAGGAGTGTTGTCATAGCTGCAGAACGACACTGGTCACCAGCCTATGGGACCAAGCTTTTGTTTCTGGTGCATTATCAGATGAGAAATTCCTCAGAATGCAGCAATTTAAATAGCAAGTCAAAGTCTTGTAGTGGTGCAACTTTGGTAAAAGTAAAAAAAAAAGGATGACCTTTCAAAGGCCAGGCAGTGAGAACTGTTGGAGACGGTTGCTTGGACCAGTACTATGATGCTTCTTGGAAGGAGGTGGGTGGGCCTCCCAGCCATCATGTGTTCACCTCGCCGTCAATGTTGTCTTGTGATGACAACAAAGAAGGATATGGAGCAACACATTTTATATTCACATAAGTAGCGTTCACATGGACGTAGTGCTCCCCAATGAAAGTGGAGAAGATTGCTGATATCTTGGAGACCAGCTCAGAAAACGATGGGCGCATTTCAGCTTTGGGGTGCCAGCATTTTAGCATCACTTCATACCTATTTCAGAAAGAAATGCTGTGAGAGATGAAAGGCAAGTGCTCCTGTAAACGTAATGAACGTAAGAGAGATAAAAGGTCTTGCTGAGATTTTTACTTACAAGGGGTCTGGGCAGTATTCTGGTTGTAATAGTCGTCTGCCTTGCAACAAGTAGACGGTGATATCAAATGTGTTGACGTCAGGATAAGGAGGGGCTCCTCTTGTCATCAGCTCCCAGAGAAGCACGCCGAAGGACCACTAATGAAACAAGATGGAGAAGTCAGGTAAGAGAATGTGACCACACACCTCAGAAGGGTAATCACTAGGTCTTGGGTAATTAAATCTGGTTTAACATAGTCAACGCTGTTGCTCTTTGGGGCAAAAACTTCCCTAAAGACAACTAGTAAGCCCTCCCATATTCTTGTCATCAGCTCCCAGAGAAGCACGCCGAAGGACCACTAATGAAACAAGATGGAGAAGTCAGGTAAGAGAATGTGACCACACACCTCAGAAGGGTAATCACTAGGTCTTGGGTAATTAAATCTGGTTTAACATAGTCAACGCTGTTGCTCTTTGGGGCAAAAACTTCCCTAAAGACAACTAGTAAGCCCTCCCATATAAAAGAGACCAGAAGGAATCGGATCCCTTGGAACTGAAGTTACAGGGAATTGTGAGCTGCCTGATGTGGGAATTGGGAACCGAATCTGGGTCCCCCCACAAGAGCAGTAAGTTCTCTTAACCGTTATGCCGTGTCTCCAGCCCTAGCATTCCAGAACTTAAGCTTGTGGGATTTCAAAGTGAATGTAAATACTATTTAAGGGGTGTAACTGTATCTAGACACAGAGTGCTTCCTGTGAAATAATAAGGACTGGAGTTCTTATCCCCAACACCCAAATAAAAACCTGGGTGGAGGCCAGGCATGGTGGTGTACACCTTTAATTCCAGCTCTCAGGAGGCAGAGGCAGGTGGATCTCTGTGAGTTCCAGGTAAACCAGGGCTACATAATGAGACCCTGTCTCCAAAAACAAACCAACCAACAAAAACAAACCAAAACCATACAAACCCCCAAACCAAACCGAAACCAAACCAAACAAGCAGCGTGGGCGTGTCAGCCTGCTTGTAATTCCAGAGCTTTTGAGGTAGAGACAAGGGATCCCTGGTGCAAGCTGGCTGGTCAGACAAGCCAAAATAGAGTGCTCCAAGTGCAGGAGACCCTGCCTCAGTAAATAAAGTGGAGAGTGCCTAAGCAAGACACCAATTCAACCTGGGGCGTCCACAGCACACATATGCACACATGTGCATCCACACACGTGTGCCACACAATTTGGACATGTGTACATACAGGCACGCTCATTACATACACATACACACGCAAAAAAGGGGAATGTACTCATATCTAAATACTAGAGAGAGAAGATCTAATTCAGCTAAGTCAAAATTCTTATTAAAATCAGAAATAAAATTTCTAGGGAACCTAGTTCTCTATCGAAAACTAATTTCAATAAATCTAAAATCTAAAAAATGTTAAAGAACTAGATTAATGTGAAACAGCTGTAACAGTATTTTATCAGAAGATCAGAGCGATGTGGAGAGGTTAAGTGACTTGCTAAAATTCCCTAATATATCTGAAGTCACATTGGCATAAACATTTAAGAGTTCCTGACCCTCAGGCCTTGCTGGGTCTACTGAACTTCACTAAGTATGCATTTTCTTGATTTAAGGCATCCTATTGAGAATAGAGCAGATTGTGCATATCATCTTCCCCTGGACATGTGCCAAGGACGACATGGGGATAAGTCAGCATGTGCAGGTCACAAAGGACTTAGAAGGTCCATTCTTCCAGGCCACTCCCAGACTAATGAGCAAATGGCAAGGACATGAAGCCTGACAAAATGAAAATGAAACAAAATGTCAAACAGCAAATATGGAAGAGAAAATCTACACCAGAAAGGTGGAGCAGGAGAACATAAAACTTGAGAAGAAATGGTTCAGGATACTCAGCAAGAATAATGAATCTTTGAATCCTGAAAGGAAAAGAAACCGGAGAGCTCCAACTGTAGTTCTCTCGTTTTAGCTGTGGCTACCATCCCCATTAACGGCTCTTTTCCTTTGACCAAATACAAGAGTTACCTGCCCTTATGAAAAAGATTTTTTTATTTATGTGTGCGTGTGTGTGTGTGTGTGTGTGTGTGTGTGTGTGTGCTATGTTAGTGTGCAGGTGCCTAGAGAGGCCAGAAAGGAGTGCAGGATATTCTGGAGCTGAAGTTACAGGCAGTTATGAGCTGCTTGATATTGATGCTAGGGTCCTCTGGAAGAGGAGCAAGTGCTCTGACCCACTGAGCCCTCTCTCTAGGGCTTTTCAAGAAAAGTGTTCACTGTGTATCCCTGCCTGACCATTAGAAATCACTACGTAGACCAGGCTGGTCTTCAACTTGTCTCTGCCTCCCAAATGCTGGGATTAAAGGTGTGTGCCACTATGCCTGACTACCTGCCCCTCTCCTTTTAAAATAACTTATTTTTATTTTATGTGTATCAGTGTTTTGCCCTGGATGTATGTAAGTGAACCTGTGTTGTACAATGCCTGCAGTGGCCAGAAGAGGACATCAGACCCTCTAGAACTGGAGTTGTTAGCTGCTATGTTTGTACTGGGAACTGAACCCTGGTCCTCTGCAAGAACAGCCAGTGCTCTTAGTTGCTGAGCCATTTCTCTAGCCCCAAGCCCTTTTCATAAAAAAAAAATTATTTATTTTATTTATTTTATGTGTATGTGTGCAAATACATACATGCCATGGCAAGCATGAGGTGGTCAGAGTACAACTCTGGGCAGTCAGTTCTCTTCTACTGCTGGGGAACAAACTCAGGTCGCTAGACGATGTGTAAGCACCTCTACTCACTGAGCCATCTCACTGACCCTTAAGAGCCCCTTCTTTTTTAAAAAAATATTTTATTTGTTATTTTTGTTTTATGTGTATGAGTGTTTGCCTGCATATATGTAAACGCACCACATGTGTGCAATGCCTACAGGTCAGAAGAGGGTGTTGGATACCCTGGAGCTGAGTTACAGATGCCATGTGGGTGCTTGGAATCAAACCTGGGTCCTCTGGAAGAACAGCAAGTGATCTTAAATGCTGAGCCATCTCTCCAGCCCTGGAGCTCCTTATTTTTAGGAGTGGAAACATGGTAGTCCAGGCTGGCTTTGACTGGCAGCAATCCTCCCACCTCTGCCTTGTGAGAGCTGGGGTTATAAATTTGAGCCATTTCACCTGGCTCAAGAGCCCTTTAAGACTACTGAATGCTTTGATCCAAATAGAGAACACAAACCTTTTCCTAAGAGAACATGAGATAATTTCACTCTGAACTCAGCCTTTTAAAATTAAATTTTTATGGTCTGGAAATCTTATGAGCCATTTTGGCAAGTTACTGTGTGAACTTTCAAGTTCCAGAATTTGAATTAAAACTTAAGTCTACCGAACAAGCATCTGTTGACCTTTGATCCTGTATAACTAGGTTACTGTACAAGTTACTAGATAGGTCCTAGTGCTGATTAAACAGTGTTACAGTATTGTGCAATAAGATGATGACTGTAAAAATCAGGTAGAGACACTGTAAAAAAATCAAGGTCATACTGGTAGGGCACTAAGAAAGGTTCTGAGAAGAGCACCAGGAGAAGGCAGAATTTGTCTGAGAGGTACATGGAACATGAGTGCTTTGGATGGAGTGGGCCCAGCAGCAAGAGTACACACATGAAGCTAGGTGTGGTGGCATAGATCTATAATTCTAGACTTGGGAGGCTGAGGCAGGAGGATTGAAAATTTGAGGCCAGTCCCTTATCCCCCCCCCCATGCTTTTATTGAATTGCTAGTACTAGAAGATACTCCTGGATCTGTGTAATAAGTGAGGGGATGGAAGAAATACGGTTGAAGCAGGACTGTGTGGTGAAAGTGAGCTAAGCTGAAATTGATGGGACATGACTAATCTGGGTTCCTGATGACTGTGACTACATGCTTAAGGCAAAAAGGAGAAGTTGGGGGCTGGGGATGTAGCTCAGTTGCTAGAGTGCTTGCCTAGCTTGCATGAAGTCCTGGTTCAATCTCCAATAACCAGGTATGGTGGTACAGGCAGGTAATTCTAGCACTCAGGTGGTGGAGGCAAGAATATCCGAAGTTCGAAGTCATCCTCAGCTACACTGTGACTTTGCTCGCTTGGGCTACATGAGTGAGACCCTATCTCAAAAGAAGGGAGAAGCTGGTTCACACACAGATGGAGGATTCTAAGAACACATGAGGCATACTGAAGCACAGGACATGGAAGTCTATAGGGCTGTGCTCCAAGTCAAGTGGCAGAAGAATGTCTGTTATCTGGTGTAGCATGCACGGGCACCATGCCACCCAAAATTTATCTTATTTAATCTTTATAATGGGTTGTAGTTGGTCACGACAACCTAAACAAAAACCATGAGAGTTGTAAGAGGTTGATCAGATCGGGGTTCCCTAGCAAAGAGCCTTGGCTATTTGAGACAACCAGATTAAAAAACAGGTAGAGCTGGGTAATTTTTTTTTTAGTCTTTTTTGAAACAGGGTCTCTCTGTAGCTGCAGCTGGCCTGGAATTCCCTATATAGATCAGGCTGGCCTTGAACTCACAGAGGTATACCTGCCTCTGCCTCCTGAGTGCTGGGATTAAAGGCATGAGACACCACACGGGATGAGCTGGGTAAATTCTTGAGCATTACAGAACTTGGGCAATGACTAAGTATCAGAGAGGAGATGGAGGACTCATAGGACAGAAATTAGAGGGACATAGCCTCCAGAAACACATTGTGCTGTACTAGAACAAAAACATGTCTGATGACACACCTGGATCAAGAACATAAAGATGACTCAAAACAAAAAGACACTTTACCAAAACAGAGAGGAGGATGTCACTAAATGCATACAAATGATCAACATTATTAGTCATGAGGGAAACACAGATGGAAAAGAAAACAAGAAACCACCACAACTTTATTAGAACAAAGGAATACCCCAAATCTGACAAAGCCGAGCCCTGGTGAGGATGCTGAATAAGTAAAACTCACACAGATTACGGATGGGGATATAAAATTATACAGCCACTTTGGAAAGCTTTTGGTAGTTTCTTTAAAAATTGAACATATTTTAAAGGAAACTTGTAAGCATTCAAAACCAAATAAAATATGTTCACATAAACATTTGTAAGCAAATGTCTTGGCAATTATATTATATTATATTATGTGGCAGTG